ATATATACACTCGAAATTCCACCTCCAAACAACGCTTCAACAGACAGTTCAACTGAACATCCATTCATCATATACTCATTCCACTTCACCCACCTTTTGTAACATTTTAATTAAGGATCTATGCGGCGTCTACAGCTGCACCCATCTTGAATCTATATTAAGTATGCGTAGTCAACATATATAAAAGGACGAGTCGCTTGATGTGGCTATCAGAAGATTCCAGTTGAATCCAGCTAACTGAAGAAGATAGCAAGAAGATATATTGAAAACTACTGATAAAACAGCAAGATGATGTTCAAGGTATAATCTATAAATTAACTTTCTCAAATTGTTATCAGTCTTTTGACCAAATTTTTTTTCTTATCTTGTTAAATTTCAATGTTTTGCCCTTTAACCAAATGTTATGTTGCTTGACAATGTACAATGTTTAACGAAGATTCGCAGGTCTGTTTTGGCTGTGTCTATAACGATTTTCTTTGTCCAAGTTAGTGAATGAATTAGTGAATATAAATTATAATTATAATGTTGTCCACGCAGTTATATGTAATTTAAATTGCTTAATCATGACATAACCTAATTAAGAGATTGGCAAACTAAATTGGAATTGAATACTTTTAAACTTGGTCCAAAATGTTATTTTAAATTTAAACGTTTTTTCAAGCTTGCGAGTTATACGGTCAATTAAACTGATAAAATTAAAAAGTATCTTATATGATGTAGATGTACACACTGTTTAAAAGTAGTGTGAATTTATTCGTGTATTTGGTCATGCGTTACATGCAATACTTTTTCATGAAAAACATTGAAACATTTCTGAAAAATAAATATAGAGCAGTAGAGCAAAATGTAAATGATTCTGGCAGGATATAAACGCAAATTTGTGGCATTTGCGCATATCGAGGTATTGTTTTGCTTCTTCGCGAAATTAACATTTCAAGTCAAGAAGAGCTCCAAGCATCTATATTAAGACCGTTACAATTAAGATCGTTACAATGGAAAAAAGAAGATGATGTAATCAGATAAGACGAGGAGAAGTACTAATATTAATATTAATATTAATAAGAAAAACTCGTGTACTAAGCACAGAAAACGACAAGAAAATTCTATAATGTAAGAAAAATCTATGACTATATATTACGAGAGTTTTATGCATGGCCAAAGAAATTCCGGCTTTACTTATCGCATGCTTTTCGTCTCTCGAATTTGCTATGCACAATTCTCACATGCACACAAGAAAGAAAGAAAGAAAGAAAGAAAGAAAGAAAGAAAGAAAGAAAGAAAGAAAGAAAGAAAGAAAGAAAGAAAGAAAGAAAGAAAGAAAGAAAGAAAGAAAGAAAGAAAGAAAGAAAAACGTAATTATTTGACATCAACTCATCAAGTAGCCTAATTGTATTCCCTATAGTTACTGAACATAATCAATATTTTCAAATTCCAATTGTGTAGAAATACTGATAATTAAGTACCATGCGTAGCATTTAAATTAAATATAAGTTAAGAAGATGCACTTAAGGAAATGTTTCACCTTCAGTTCCTTATTTCATCTCAATCGGTGTTTTATCTCCAGGATTATGGACTCCTCGTAAATTCATGTAAGATAGAACAGTAATTTCGTGAAAATTAAGGAAGCAGGAATTTATTTCATTAATTCAAAATTGCTTATAAATTATAACGTTTTTGTTTATAGATATTCCTGCTCGTTGTTGGATGTTTCGTCTTCGCAGATGCACGACAATATAACAATTTCTTTTGGGATGATTACAGGTATTTTATAACAAAAACTAATAATAAAAGCATTTATTTAAACACGATAGTAAATTTACAGCATGGCTGATGTGGTCGTGCACGTGAAACTAACTACAATATATAAATATAAATATAAACATAAATACATCTGACTCTAAGTGATCTAACAGAACAACAAATTACATGTCACATAACTGAGATACTATTTTACACAATCCATACATATTAACTACTTAAACCTATGGCGTCACATTGCAGCACAATTGTTATATTATATATGACTATCTAATTTTCAGTCGGCAATACCAAAACATAAGCTGTTTAGGAAATAACTACGAAATACTTTAGTCATGCAAGTAGAAGCTTTAAGCGCTCTTAGCGAGATTAACCAGCTTTGATGTAAGATATATAGCTATGTTAAGACAGGATTGAGAAAATCCATTATAATAGTGTAAACTTGTTTGTGAACAGTGGTTTTTAAGTTTTAAGGCCGCGAGTTCATGTGTCAAACGTTCCACCCGCTACCCTGGTTTCAGAGGCTTTTGTGAGGCGAAAGAAACTGAGAGGCGAGAAGGAAGAGCCTCTTCTGGTCACATCGGTTGCATATCCAACTTCCACACTTGATTAGGTTCAGAATTTGAATGATCTCGCATGTAAATGGCCATTTGTAAAAATATGTCAAACCGGTTTGGGAAATAAACATTACTGTATAGACTAATTATAGTTATTATTCCTATAATTAGCTTACAGTACGTACTGTTTATTTCCAGGGTTTATTATAAGAAAAATTTAGAACTGCACATATAGGGATGTTGCAAAACCAACGGGTGTTTGAAAGGGGGGTGTCAAAGGATATTTTTCCTGCATATAAGTGACAGAATAATGGTGTGGTTGGGTGTGGAAATAGGGGGGGGGGGAGTGTTCCACAAAATAATTTGAATCTAGAGGCTCTTAAGTTCTGGCAAAGATTTGTTTTACCCAACCACTCACAAAAACGGTTTCAAAACAGGTAACTAGGAATCATGGATATTCAATATATAATAACCTTTAATTTGCATTTCAGGCAGGAAAGAATATTAGATTCGCTCACTCTAATCTCTTTTTGGGACCCTTCGCTCGCCCCAATTTTACCTTCTTTTCCATTACCCCAGCACGTAAGTGATTTGTGAGGAAAATAGGGGGGTCTGGGGGTCCTCTCCCAGAAAACGTTTATATTTTTTATGCTCATGCAATGACAGCATTTCTGGAACTTTCTGGAGCATCCACAAGGGTAACGAGTAAATGAGAAGACTGTTATAAGGCTACTTTTGTTAGTTTGGTGACTGCACATTGTGTTTTAAGAACTGCACAAATGGGTTTAGAACCGCTCATTTTGTGTAGAACTGCACGTTAAAATAAACCCTGTAAAATTATTTCCCAAACCGGTTTGACAGATTTTTACAAATGACCAATCACATACGAGATCCAAATTCTGAACCTAATCAAGTGTGGAAGTGGGATTTGCAACCGATGTGACCAGAGGCTCTTCCTTCTCGCCTCTCGTTAATTTCGCCTCGCGAAGAGCCCCTGGAACCAGGGAATCCATCCGCCAAACAAAATGTGATTATGAGTTCAAATAATGAGTTCAGAAGTCAGTTGTACGAAAGCCGGTTAGCTTAATCCTATGCCAGTTAACAACAAACTTCCATGCAAACCTCTTTGGAAATAATTTTCCAGTAATCTTGTCTGCATGAGTTAATAGGAGTTCTATTTTCTGAAGTTTTGAAAATTATCGTGCGTTCAAAAATACACAGACCAAACCAACGGGTTGAATTTTAACCCAGGGTTAGATCTAATCGAGATTTGAGCAACCAGGCTCAGGTCTTTTACAATATAGGTTCGCTACAATTGTAATACAATGGAAACCCCGTCAAGTTTCATATTTTTAGATCGACTAATCCTTCGTCATCATTGTAGGAATTACTGCTTTTCTAACTACTCGTTATGAAGTTCACTCTATATAAGAAAGCGCTCCTGCATGATCGCTTACTCGTGATAAGAATGGAATTATTGAGGTTTCTCATACAACCGGCTTTTGCTATTTCTTGGCGCGCTGGCGCTAGGAAGAACTTGAAAGAAAAAAAGCTTAAGCAAAAACATACGATTTCCGGGAAAATGGCACAGACTGTTTAATTAGTTTTTCAGTAACCATGTCGCCAGTGCAGTAAGTACATAAATACTGAGTTCAGGGGCCGGTTGTTCGAAAGTCCGTTAGCTTAATCCTTGGCCAGTTAACAATAAACTTCCATGCAAACCTCCCAACAGTTTGCTTGCAAGCTTGGAAATAATTTTCCAGTAATCTTGTCTGCATGAGTTAATAGGAATTTTCTTTTATAAAGTTTTGAAAATTATCGTGCGTTCAAAAATACACAGACCAAACCAACGGGTTGAATTTTAACCCAGGATTAGATCTAATCGAGGTTTGAGCAACCAGGCTCAGGTCTTTTACAATTAAGTTCGCTACAACTATATATAGTACAACGGAAACTCAGTTAAGTTTCGATCATATTTTTAATTCAACATTTCGACTAATCGTTGGTCATCATTGCGGGAATTTCTACGTTTGTAACTACTCGTTTTGAAGTTCACTCTAGACAAGCACTCGTGATCGCTTGCTCGACATAAATATTGCATTATTGAGGTTTTTCATACAACCGGTCTTTGCATTTCTTGGCACGCTGGCGTGCCGGAGAACTTGCAGAAAATACTTAAGCAAAAAATTCAATTTCCGAGAAAATGGTAACCAGTATTAAGAAAGCTTCGGATTGAGAGAGATACAACTACCTGAAAAGTACAAGGAGAACTTGGACGTTTCGAGCGACGGCCCTTCGTAGGGAAATTACTCGAAACATCGAAGTTCTCAATTTGTTTTCAGATGGTTGTACATTCACCTATCAATCCCAAAGCATTCTTATTATTGGCACTACCTACACTGGCACAGACCGTTTTTAAATGAAGTAGTTTTTAAGTAACCAGGTCGATGGTAAGTAACCATTATACTTCACTTAGAATACATATTGTATTGATTGCAGATCTTTCAGATTGGTGTGGGTTAGTGTGCTTTTCCCAACTTTATCACAATAGTTCTATAGAACGGTTTGAATGTTGTCTGGATAACATGTATGTAAAACCCCCCAACTAAAAAGCGGGTTAAGACTAATCATCACTTCAGGTGTTTTTGAGGTATCTATGCATGTATAAACAATGTTTACTTAAGCATGGCACCTACCTTTGACAGAGACCTTGAAATGACAAAGCGCGGAGGACAGAAAACGGGGAAGTCAATGTGTAAATTATCAGGAAGTAAAGATATTACATTAACCACAACTAAATCTGACAAGACTGGCAAGCCAATATCCATACTAACAACGCGTTACACGGCAAATGCGAAATGTGAGCCCAGAAACAAGAGTATTACATTAGTTGGCAATCGCCGGTTTAAATGCAGACCGATAAACCAGGAGATAAAGGAAAGGACACCAGGGTCGACCGGGAAAATTAAGAATATTACTGTCGGTTGTGAAGTTTTCATCTTCAACTAGAAGCATGCTGCAAGACAGAAATGCTGGACCAAAACTCGTGAATGGAACTGGTATGAACTATTGATGACATTTATGGATATATTTCTAATCATTTATATCCTATTTAATTTATTTATGAGTGACGAATAACGTTCATAACTCATTTTGTATAGATATTCTATTTTATAGTTGTAAGTATTGAGCAAGTAAATAAAAATTGTGCAATTTCATATTTAGTCTAATTTATTTTATCTTCCTTTCCTTATTTTTTGCTACCCCGGTTATCAGGGCTGGTAACTTCTCCCCGTCAATTTTCCTAAGTGGGGCCTCTATTTTTTCTAAAAAAAGGTTGGCGAGCCAATGGGGAGAGAAGAAAAAATTCGAACCATATTCATTGAAAAAAGGGGATCAAAAATTTTTCCGGACTATGACAATTATAAAAATAGTCATAAAAATATTTCTCCAACCATGTCTACTAAAAATGGGTCCATTTTTCACAATTTCACTAATTCCTGCTTTTGGGCGCCACCAGTTGCTAATTTTCGGGCCCTATATAACTGAGGCTCGAGTCAAATTGCCCAATGTAATAGCAAAACTGTTATGGTCACTTTTGCTGGGGGCCCCCCGTCTCTGGACACCTGAACCCCCCCCCCCTCAGTTACGCCACTGAACTTTACAGGGACAAATTTCAGCCCAGCTGACCAGTCGTCCCGTTTGAGCCAAATGAGATCCCAGTTCATTGGGGCTGGTCATATAAAATGAAATGGCTTTGTATAGGAAATTATTATGAAGTCTGTTGCGCAGTCCTCTACACCCAAAGTTAATAAACACTATTAATTCAAAAGGTATCCTTTTAATACAATAACTAGACGTTCATTAACTGTAGATGTCCTTTGCTTTCAAAACATTTTCTTTTTTTTCAAAATTCATTGGACAAGAATGCTTATAAATGTTCCGTTTGGCTTCTACTTTGAATTATTACCGCAATAAGATTTATAGAAGATGTAAATAGTTATCATTAACACTTTCGCTCCGTCACACGATTAGTCGCAGTTTTGGAGGGTTGTAGTACCGTTGAAGAGGTAATTCAATGGAGGCCATGAACGTGGGTCGATCGTAGTATTTCGTGGCCATGCATGCACTTGGGTATTGATGAATTGCCTAACCGAGTTACTATATATATTATTGCTGTTCTCGAGTGCCGAGAACACTACCTCTCCCCTATAGTACCACATTCACACTTCTGGAGAAGAGCAAAATCTGCTCCAAAACGAGATAACCCTGCAAACTATATTAATAAATTAATATACGAGGGGGCAGGGAAAACTGTACGACTGTCACCGAAGGAAACCAACAGCTCGCAATTACGAGAAGGGGAAGAGGGGTGGGCCAGGGGAACGACGAAGAAACGGCCATGAAACGATAGCCCATGCATCGCGATGACACGAGTTACTATATACACTAGAAATACATGCATGCAGTAACCCCTCCCCAATATTTTCCAAACATTAAATTATCATGAAGTATTCTGAAATGGGGCCAAATGGGTCACTGAACGCAGGCTCGCGCTCAAGTGTTGCCATGAACACGATAGACCAATTGTGAAACTTAGTGACCGCGCCTTCAACTGCACGAAAACGAGACTTATTATGCAAAAACAAATCATTCTGCTATATTTTTTATATGGCGAAAAATGAATTTCAGTGTTTGAGACGCGTTTTTATGGTAATCTCTTCATTTCTTTTCAATATTTTTGTTTTGACTATGTAAATCTTTATTAAACTTGTTCATAGATTTAGTCTTACTTCAAATTTCATTGTTTTTTGCGGCGTGCGAGGCAAAGTTTTGCTGTTTTTCGCCGTCCGATAAAAGAGGCAGATTTTGTAACATTGATTAAATTTTGTTTCAGTTGTAATATAATAGCAAGTTTTCGATTTTAACTTTAAAAATATGAAAGAAAATGTCGGGCAAAATTTGTAGAAATTTTATGTTATTATCCTTTGACAAAATCGTTTTTTTCTCGCACGAAGTCTAAAAAAATTTGGGTAGAAAGAGTTATATTTTAGTTTGTTAAGTTATACTGGCTATTTTATTTGCATCTTGATCAGATTTTAAAGTCTAGATTGATCTTTTCCATATGTTTGTCCCATCGCATGCTAAAACAACAACGAAATATCTCTCCAAAGCGGGTAAAAATATAGTGGGAAATCGATGTTTAGATAAATTTAACAAATATTTATATAACCTAGCACGAAATATTAAGGAAAGATCAAAGAGATTCAAGAAAAACACTTTAAAAACCCTAAAATTCACTTTTCGCTATGTAAAAATATAGAAATTGTTTTGTTTTTGCATAATAAGCCTCGTTCTCGTGCAGTATGAAGGCGCGGCCACTTAGTTTCGCAATTGGTCTATATTCTTAAATTTTTAATTTTTTCAAATTTTTGTACAAAACTGCAAAATAGTTGAAAGATTCGTACTTTCAACTATATACAACAATATATTTCCGAAATATATACTGTAGGTATATTATTTTGCATTTTGTGAGCTTTGGTTTAATGTAAAATTTAACTTGAAACGCTTCGTAAAATGTTTTGAAATGTTTATTCAACTATACTCTATAGTTCATTTGCCGATAAACTATAAATAATAAAACATAATAAGAGTTAGCTACAAATAAAACAAATTGTTAGGTAATTTCAGTTCAGTCTTCAAATCAATTTGTTCTCCTTTACATTTTAAGATTTTTTCTCAAATTAAACGGTAATTTATGAAATTTAGAGCTGTTGAAAAGGAAAACAGTTCATTTTCTTAGGCAAAAAGTTAAAGCAACAAAATTCGTAAACATTTAATAAATATTCAAAGCAAACTTGCCGTATATTTCGCGATTTCCCATAGTAAACCAATTCTTCTCATTTCTTCAAACAAAATTGCTTCAAGCTTGTTGTATATGAAACGATTTTCCAAATATATGTCTTTTAAAATTGAAATCGTGCTCATCCCACTCCTACAAGCAATCAGCCATATTTTTGAGATCAGTGAGGATGACCACCCACTTTAGACTTCGCTAATGCTTTCGTTTCCCCTGGTGTAAATAGCCGGGGGAATTAGTACCCTCGCCCCGGGCTTATGCCCGGAACGGCGCTCTGCGCCGTTGGCTCGGGGATTATTGCTGTTCTCGAGTACCGAGAGCGCTACCTCTTCAAACAAAACACTCCAGCAACGCTTGCGAGAGGGATTCGAAGGCACTCAAACACACCGCCAAAACAATTCAACACTACACCATATTAAGGCCGTTTTCCACTAGGCGGAATTTTCCGCTCGAGCGGAATTTCTCTTTGTCTTTTCTAATTAGTTCCACCCGAGAAATCACAAGACAAAGAAAAATTCCGCTCCGCGCGGAAAATTCCGCCTAGTGGAAAACGGCCTTTAGACAGATTTAGATTGAGGACGCGAACGTCAAAGACGACGTGAAAATGGCGTCAAAATGGCGTGGTATATCCATACATTGGCACAACACGCCATTTTAATTTCACGTCGTCTTTGGCGTCCGCGTCCTCAATCTAAATCTGTCTATTACCGCGGCGACGGACGTCAGTACGTGAGACGGAGTACGAATATATGGCTGGTAAGCATTACTGGACCAGCTTCCAAGGGTCGTGATAAGGTGATCCGGAACGCCAGCCGCCACCGCTGATGGAAATACGGAAACTGTGACTGGAGTAGTTTCCAGAGATGCCAACCATGGAGATACTTTTTTCTGTGTTGGTGTTGTGTACTCAGGTGAATATGATGTTTGTGATGTTACTCTGAGTGTGTATCCACACCGGGAAAGGTCGTAGGTTCCAAAGGTCGTAGGTTCGTTTCCCACCGTGGCCAGGCATATTTTTCAAGCTTTCCCGGTGTGGATACACACTCAGTGTAACATCACAAACATCATGGAGATAATTGATCGCAGCCACGAGTTGACCAGAAGCGGTGAGAGCGGACTGCCGTTAGAAAACACAAACAGCGGCCCCACGATATAGCCACGAAGCTGAACAAACAGCGGCCCCACGATATAGCCACGAAGCTGAAGGTAGCGACGGGGAGCAGACCCCGCGAGTTACTTCACGGACCGATGGAGAGACGCACACCCCGGCGTAAAGGGTCAGCTTTTGATGATTTGACGAGGAGGCCGTTGCAGCCAAAGGGATCAAAGGACACGTCTGGTACTGACACTGGCACCGACACCGACACCGACACTGACAGGACCAGCAGAATGGGTCGGGTAACTGGGAGACGAGAGGATCGGCCGTCGGCGAAGCACCCGAAGGATACGATGGAGACGCGCAGTATCCTTGGGAGGATCCGGAAACCCGTGAGCGACGTGTAGGGACCAAACAGAGGCCAGATACACGGAAACTTCGCCGGCAGACAGGCGACGAGAGGAGTGCGACGAAGTGAACTTTTTTTGTTGTTATTATTATCAATAGCTAAATCGACGTGTAACTTTACAAAGATGACAAGATATTAAATTAAACTTATTCACAGATATACTCAAAAATATTACTATACTTGTTACGATACTAGTTTACATAAAGTAACTCGCTTTACGAAGTTAAAGATTCCCTAACTTTTTATTAAACTAGTCTTTACATGAAGTTAAAAAAGTATTAGAAGAAGTTTGAAAAAAATGCTTGTGATGTTACTCTGAGTGTATATCCACACCGGGCAAGCTTGAAAAATATGCCTGACCACGTTGGGAATCGAACCTACGACCTTTGGAATGCTAGCCCAATGCTCTGCCAACTGAGCTACGTGGTCTGGTCGGTTCGAGTATGTGATACTTTGGAACAGAATCTAGTTCCTTCGATATCAATGTAATCTAGTAATAATGATATTTGCTGTGTTGGTGCAATGTACTCAGATGAATAAGATGATTGTGATGTTACTCTGAGTGTATATCCACACCGGGCAGGCTTTAAAAATATGCCTGGCCACGGTGGGAATCGAACCTACGAACTAGTATTCGGTATTCCAAAGGTCGTAGGTTTGATTTCCAACGTGGCCAGGCATATTTTTCAAGCCTGCCCGGTGTGGATATACACTCAGAGTAACATCACACAAACATCTTATTCACCTGAGTACATTACACCAACACAGCAGATTTCATAAATATTAGATTACATTGGTATCGAAGGAACTAGACTCAGTTCCGAAATATCACATACTCGAACCGACCTGACCGCGTAGCTCAGTTGGCAGAGCATTTGGCTAGTATTCCAAAGGTCGTAAGTTCGATTCTCACCGTGGCCAGGCATATTTTTCAAGCCTGCCCGGTGTGGATATACACTCAGAGTAACATCACAAGCATCTTAAAGACGTTATTGTCGTCTCACGATAATGCCGTCTGTCTAGCTAAGGCGTAAAAAAAAATACCTGTGGTTCCGGTTTCATATCGCGAAAAAATTAGGGTCGGTAGGTCGGAAATAAATTTTTTTTTAAATATTTTTTTAATGGTTTTTTCAATAATTAATGTGACAACAGACGCCATTTTGGCAGTAGCCCGCATCCACCCGGAGAAAATAGGGTTGCACGGTCAATCGCGTTCAAAAAATAATAGGGTCGGCAGAAAAAAATAGGGTCGGTCGCGGGAACCGGAACCACAGGTACTTTTTTTTACGCCTAACCGTATTTACTATAGACATTAATGTTGTCTGAAAACGATATTATCGTCTCTATATAGTATAAAAACGGCCAGTTGCTACAATGTTTACTACAATAATAGCGATTACTGCTGCGATTAATACATTTACTATACCAAAATTATTATTATATATGTAACTGCTACACTATGAAAACCTGTCAAACTGTTTTTCTGACACTGAACTTGAAAGCTGACATTTTCTCCTTTGAAAATGAACATGTGTAACATCAACCTCGTTCCCAGTTGGTGTAACATAACTTTTCATGCATGATGACTGCAATATACCGTAAAATTCTAAAAATGTATCTTTAAATTTCTCTGGGTTTGAACATTCAAGCAATCTCACGCGGGACAGAAGTTGATGAACGTGACCTTAGTTCTTACTCACCCAAAAGGATCTCCAACAACAAGGAAAGCAACATCAGAATCTTTTGCTTGTGCTAACATAACATCTTAAATAAAACACAAAATAAACTGAGGCTAGGTGGTATTCCAAACCATGCACTACACATGACATACTGATTTAATTTGCAGTAATGTTAATTTTTTCAGCAGCTACTATTAAACCTGCGTGGTGGCATATTCATGTCTTAACGATCGAGTTATAATAGTTGTAATATACCAACAATATACAGTACATATACATCAACAATGAATAGACATCAACTCATATCAAGACAATATCTTATATATACAGTACACCATCAACGATATAAAATTTTATCTTGATTTTATCCATAACAGGGATGCTGGAAGTTTCAAGGGCAATGGGCCATATTTGTTATCAAAAAGGCATGGTGGTATCAAGCTGTTTAAGTGCTTTAAAAGTTGAAAGTTAAAAGTAATATATATTATAAAATTGCTTCTCATACAGTATGCTAACAGGTTGCCAGTGAAAATTAGTATTAAGTAATGTGGCAGAATTTGCTTTCGTAAAAAATTAGCTTAACTGCCGCATTACAGAATAGACAATCCTGGTTGTGACAAATGCTTGTAGAAGGGTCGCAACACCATCTTGCCAAGTCAGGCAAATACAATAGAGCAACAATACCATGACCCTAAGGAAAAGTATTCCCATTAGACAATGCTTTCACGATAATTATGATGGCGGTTGCCCCACTTTGCAAGATGGCATCGATGGCAAGGTAATTAACAATTAGTGAATGTGCTTTTTTAAAGAACTTTATTGGTTATTAACAGTGGCGTAGCCATGCCGACAATTTAGTCCCGCTATGCAAATTCAAAATTATTACATTATTCATTTCTTTAGAAATTGATTGTTTTCACAGTCAATGAATACAAAAATATTTGCATAGCGGGACTAAATCGTTGGGCTGGCCACGCTACTGGTTATTAACAACTATATATAATAATTATACTAACAAATAATTAGACAAAGATACACAAATTTTAAAATAACAACAACAAAAGAACCCAAATGGGAAAAGTGCGAACGGGACTACAAGTGAAGTTCCCATAAAAAAGTAAGTTTATGTCCTATGGCAGGAGCAAACACGCACGAGGGTCCATGCACACAGTTGATCAACATAAAATATTTGAGTATTTAAATTATGATACTGTAACATGAGTTTAACTGAACATTTGAAAGTTGAAAGACTCGATAAAATAGTGGGGGGAAGTATTTTACAGGTTGTGTTCCATAGTTTTACTATTCGATTAAAGTAAGACGCTTGGAATGTTCTGCTTTTACGAAAAGGAACTTTAAAAGTTAAAGATGGATTTTGACTAAGTCGGGTGCGATCACTATTGACAAAAGAAACAAAATGATAAACGCTCAAATCTAAATGTCCAAATAGCGCCTTGTAGAAAATATCAAAAAATACCTCTGTTGGTAAGGTATCTCGGTAAGGTATTTCAGAATCCAAGCGGTAGCTCTTCTTTGAATTTTCTCAACCTTTGACTTGAGATGTATGTTGACTGGAGACCAAACTTCTGTGGCGTAGCTGAGTTGTGATTTAACGAGTGACAGATACAGCGTACGTCTAACTTTAACGCCCGTCAACAAGGGACAAGTTCTCTTTAATAAACCCAGCAGCTTGTTGAATTTGGCGACGATAACGTTGATACGAGTGTCCCAAGAGAGGTTACTAGTTAAAGTAACACCGGGATCTTTTTCTTGCCCCGAAGCATGCAGTTAGAGCCAAGTTGATAAGTAATATTGGGCTTCTCTTTCTGGTCATGGTCAACACCTTGCATTTAGATGCATTAAATTTAAGGTTATTGACACTGCTCCATGTATCAAGGTTAGTCAGAGCACGGTTAATAGACCTATTAACCGTGGTCAGAGCTTGCTGTTGATCTTCGCAGTCAGCCACTGATACGATGCTTCTGTACAACTTTGTATCATCTGCGTATAAAGCAGCGGTTGTTTTGTCTGGTATAGAATCAGGAAGATCGTTGATGAACACCACAAAGAGCATGGGTCCTAAAATACTACAGTACCTTGTGGCAATCCGGATGTAACGGGTGCCCATTGAGATGCCACACCATCCACTACTACTCTTTGAGAACGGTCTCAGTTTTAGGTAGTCAGCAAACCAGTTATGTAGTTGATCCGTACCACCATAGGATTTCAGTTTTTCAAGAAAATTTGGTGATCGAGAGAGTCAAACGCTTTGGCGAGATCAAGGTAAAGAACATCTGTTTGGACGTTTTTATCAAGGCATTGTCCGATTGAGTGGAGAACTGAAAGAAGCTGTGTGACACACGAGCGACCTCGTAAAAACCCATGTTGTAACTTGGTAACGAGCTGCTTCAAATGACCGTAGAATTTGTTACAAATGCAGCGTTCCATGACCTTTCCGAGAATTGGCAACAACGAAATCGGTCTATAGTTTTCTGCAACTTCTTTTAAATACTTTTTGTGAATGGGCGTCACGTTAGCTGATTTCCACTCAGAAGGAATTCGACCAACATTTAAAGATCGGTTGAACAGTGCACTGACGCCGGGTGCGATTTCCTGGCTGCATTCTTTCAATAGGCGTGATGTATCAAGATCGTGAAGACAAACCTTAACTTCGTCAACACCGAGTGTAATGTCCGAAAATTGTATGATGGTGCTCAGAGGAGATGAGTTATCATCTACATCAGGACTAATATTAGATTTTGGCGGTTTACTCATCATTTTGATGGTTTACTTAAATATCATATCATTTTGATGGTTTACTTAAATATAACACAGCCCTATGGCTATGTATAAGAAGGACTATTCTGATAGCTGATGCTCTTGATACGTAGCTTGTGATCCTTTACACGCGACTATAAGTTACATGACACATTTATAATAATCAAATAGGCAATATTCCTACCTTGTTTGTTGCTTAAAGAAACTATATAAACTTCGACTTGAATACAATCAGAAACGATCCCTAATTCAGGGTGTGCCGTGTGCGTCGAAAGTGATGGTTGATCGAGGTGGATCGCGTATTCAATGATTTCCACTCAGAAGGAATTCGACCAACATTTAAAGATCGGTTGAACAGTGCACAGACGCCGGGTGCGATTTCCTGGCTGCATTCTTTCAATAGGCGTGATGTATCAAGATCGTGAAGACAAACCTTAACTTCGTCAACACCGAGTGTGATGTCCGAAAATTGTATGATGGTGCTCAGAGGAGATGAGTTATCATCTACATCAGAACTAATATTAGATTTTGGCGGCAGAAATACCGAGGAAAAATGCGAGTTTAAAATTAAGCTCCGCTTTTGCAGCTGCTGTCTAATTAGCTGTAACACCATTGTATGTAATCTTATATAGGACCCTGGTTCTCTTGGTGGTGAAGGATAGATTTGTGATAACTCCAGAAGAGTTTAGGGTTATCTTTAAAGGAGGCTTCAATTTTGGCTAAATACTCGCTGTGTTTTCATCTGATAGCATACTTGATTTTTTTACTCAAAGTACGTAGTTTCAACTTTCGAGAATCTGACTTGACCAAACGATATTTCTTTAGCGCTGCGTATTTCTTTCGGATTAAATGCCGAACCTCCCCGTTAATCCAAGGTGGAGAGTATCACTCATAGTTTTTACGGGGTGTAACTTTCAACTGCAGATAAAAACATATCTTTCCACTGTAACCAGTACTGGTCAATGTTTTCTCACGTAGTAATATCGAAAGGCACATGCGCTAGAAAATTCCTCAGATCCCCTGAAATTCTATGACGTAGTGATATGTTGGAAAATTGCACGATCGAGGTTTGAGTGTAGAAAAATTTCCGATTGTTTCAGGATAGTTGCATAACAGCAGGTCAAGTTTATTACCAGCAATATGCGTAGGGTCCATTATAAATTGATGGAAAAAATTGTCGCCAACTACTGTAGGTCACAAAAAGTGTCGTTCTCCACATTCGGTCCAGTGATTACAGGAGAAGTTTGATCAGTTGACCAGTCGATAGAAGGGAGGTTAAAATCGCCAACGACAACTACACAGCTAGACTCAGTTGTATTTTGCAGAGAGGTATTCAGTTCTTGTAGAACATCAGATGTGGAGTTAGGAGATCGGTAAAACGTGAATAGAAATATGTTTTTATTTGACGCAATTAATTCAGTTGCAACAAGTTCACTACTTTCAAGCTCGACTACTTTCAGGCTCGAGATCCAGTCGACGAGTTGCTTGAATGTATACCATTCTTTAGAGCTACAACTAAGACACCTCCATGCATACACCAACTTTCCCGATTCTGACGCGACGAAAAATAGAATATCCCGGTAATAATTCAAATATCCTGGCTCCATACAGTTTCTTGAAAAGTGGAAAAGACACATTTCAGACCAAAACATTTTGTACATTGATATTTTTATCAGGGGTGGAAAAAGTATCGGAACCTGGGAACCTAGTTCCCAGAAATTTTTTTGAGTTGAGAGTTTTGCAGAAAATTTACCATAAAATATTCCAACATTTTGAGATAACTCTGTTTACTCAACTTACAAGTTACAACTATTCTAGTTTATTTACACTGTACACACTAACATCAGCAGCTTTTAAATATTTGACAGAAATTAATTCTTTTACCCGCCCCTGCCATCACAATGAGGTAAAATGGTAAATATATGCTCTGCAAAGTCTCCAATAAAATGCAAATTAAATAGTAAACAAATAAAAGTAATGGAATAAATAAGATGATAGGACACTTAGTTAAGCGTTAGATCCTTACTAGTTGGTCATAACTGTGGTATATAACAGACAACTATTGCGAGGTACAAGCATACGAAAACCAGCCTAAAGCCTATTATTACTAAAGTACAAATAATACAATAATTATGCATTTGTTTTGTTATTTTTGTAATTGTAACGTTGCAAATTTTACAGAAAATTTCTAGCCTTCGACCCAGGTTCCCAGAAAGAAATTTTTTTTTCCACTCCTGATTTTTATAGCCAAAGAATCAAACCAGATGTCTTGTATAGAACAGTATTTTGAGAATTAGGAACTGTAACGGAAAAGTCTGTAACTGTGGTTACTATGGCAACAATGACGTTTCAAAATGGTTGCTAATTCGCATTTAAACTAGTTTAATTCTAAAACAACCTCGGTGACCCCCAATTTTTATTTTATTAAAAGTTTTCTTCTAGTATGAGCAATCATTAGGACAATTTTAAAAAAATTCTGTAGATCCAAAATCTTTCTGTCACGAATAAACACGTTTTTTCGATTTGAAAATTTTTAGATCTACAGATTTTTTAAAAAATTGTCCTAATGATTGCTCATACTAGAAAAAAAACTTTTAATAAAATAAAAATTGGGGGTCACCGACGTTGTTTTCGAATTAAACTAGTTGAAAACGTAATTGTTGCCATAGTAACCACAGTTACGGACTTTTCCGTTACCAGTGGCGAAGCCAGCGGTCATGCAGGTCATGCAGTGCATGACTAAAAATTTCCCCAAACATGTTTAAAAATCAGTTCAGTATAATTGTTTACAATAGAATTATACTTTATCTTTGCACTTCTACGCCTAAGTATTTTATTTATTATTTTGTTTAACCAAATCAGTGGTCTTTAGGCGATATTCTTGCTAAATATTCTCGTATGTTATTGATTTTGGCTTTGTTACCTTGGCAACTGAGCGGTCCTGCATATTTTCACATGCATGACCGGTTGCGTAAGCGCGTGGAAAAAGATTGCGTGTGATTGCTGCGTGGTTTGCTCGCTGTGTGTTTTGGTCATGCACTTTCAGAATTTCATGACTAGCTGTATTATTTCATATTAGGTTTGTTGGTTTCTGATTGGCTTACGACGTTCGCGCACGCGCAATGCGGCTGTTTTTGACGCCTTGGTCATGCAATTTTCGATTTGCATGACTAAACAGGCAACACAACCTGATCACAGCCTCTTAGCTCACAGAGTAGAGACATACAGAGACGTAACTAGTGTACCCACTTTTTTTGTGCGCATGCTCGGCAAGTTACTAGATGCATGCATCTGATTGGATGACGACCTGATGACGACTCGCTTTAAACTTGCTGAGCACGCGCAGTTGATCATTTTTCGCCCTATCGCCTGAAAAAAGTGGGTACATGATAACGTAATCTTCCGCAGTGTTTACAACGGTCAGTTACGTCTCTGTATGTCTTATCTACTCTGTGTCTTAGCTCGAAGCTTTCAGCCTGAATGAACACGTCTTCAGGTCATTCAAGCATGTCGACTTCTTCTTTACTCGAAGCTAACGATATTGTTTGGGAATTGGTGAAAAAACAATTTTCTGCTGAGCAGAATATTATTATTTATAAGCAGAGACAAACGCCAGATCTTTCGACATGCCCGATCGGGAAGGTTTTCAAATGTCGTGGTATTCAAAGAAAGAATGGCTTAGCCAGTCAGGCTTAGGCTAAATAGGCTATTGCCTATTGGTATTTAGTTATTGTTACATGTATTTTGTCTTGAATATTTAAGCCTTCAACCCGAGCATAGGCGTATAAAGCATCGAACGCTATATACTATATGAAATACAATGTCAATGTCGAGGTCAATGTAGTAAACAATGTAGTTCTATAAATAGCGTTGCAAAGCTTATACATTTCAACACGCAACACAAACATTTTAGCGATTGTGATTTAGCAACATATTTGATATATACTTGTTTGTGAAACAAACAAAGAAATTTCAATATATATTGTTAAATTGTATTTACCATTTGGTACATACTCCCCGTGCGTTCGAAAATATCCAATATTGGCAATAGCCAATCGATATGAATGCAGAATTCGGCTATAAGACTGACAGTAAAACTTCTACTCAAACATCTGATAATGCTTAATTCATTTCTGTATGTAATATTGTAATAATTGGGCGATTGATTTTAAATAGCGTTGTCCGCAATTGACGTCACGAAAATTCGACCCCCCGCGAAGACTCAGACAAACATTGGCAACATTTAATATAAATAGTATTATGATTAAGAGCTTCCTGTGAGTTAGTTTGATAGTTTGATGTTTGTTTACGGTTTATTTGTGCGAAATCATACACACCTTGTACTTTTCGCTTTACCTGAAGTGCCAGTGCAAAATATTTTTGCTTTGGAAGTAGAAATATACACTTTTTCGTCACTTTAGTATCGACTGTCATGTCGTTTCTATCATAGGCGGTGTCTACTGTATTATAATAGTACGTTGGTTTGGCGTAACTGTTGCTATAAAGAGGCCATAAAGAAAGGGTATGCAAAAGAAAGGGCGATAGAAAGTCTGTAGTAGCAGATATTTAACCGAAAAAATCTCGTAGTCGTACCAGATTTAATTCGTAGCCCTAGCGAATCAGTTCTAAAGTTCTCTATTTAATGTTGTTGATTTCATGTTTATACTAACTTATATTTTAATACTCGCTTTAGTGTGCATTATTTTATTACTTTAGACATCTCTTTTATTAATAGCAAAGTCCAAAGCCAAAGAAGCTAGGATTGTTTACTATAATCTATTGACTACACTTCAACTTATAAAATACAGATTTATTAGGAATGTAATTAAAACTAATACTTTCAAATTTAAACTTTTTTAAAAAATGTCAAAGATAAACTACAAACTATATAAAATCTCAAATATAAAATCTTCCGTTGACCAGTAAAACTATTTGTTTTGACAATACAACAAAAATATGTTATTATAAAAACAACATTTTTATTTATCTATTTTTAAATATTCAGTTTTGTAAAATAGAGAACCGCCCTTTAACACTGTGTTAATTAATAGCCTAACACTGTCTGGTAAACTATTGCTTCTCTCAGTCATAAATTTAACAACAGACGCTCTCACTGAAAACGATGGCGTCCCAGACTCATATTTTGAGCATGATCCATCTGCTTATACTGTCGATTAAACTCAAGCAGAGCCAGAGGTTAAAATGTAGAGGCCGGCTTATAGCAAAGCGGTATAAAACGCCAAGTTTTTCTTCAGCGAGTTAGCGATTGCTTTTAATAGTTCGGGAAAGCATCGTTCGCTGGATGTATTGATGGGGGAAAATGGTTAGCTGCGAAAGTTCTTGGAGAAAAACCAGCACAGTCCGCAGTCAATAATATAACAATCAACACATTGGTACTGCAGACATTCCCGTCCCGTCCGACTTTTCAATTCCCTGTTTCGACAGTTTTTCTTAGTATCTCGAATCACTTGGACATGTTCCCCAGCAACAGTGCTTAGCATTAACCATGTTTGTAATTTGGGATAAATTTGAATTCGTTTTAGTACAGATAAAATAAATAAAAACGTCAATTTAGACCAATTTATGTTCGCTGCTAGTACAATTCTATTAGTCTAGGACCTGTATATGGGTTTGTATGCATTTCATTTAGGACAGATAATCTCAACTGTTTTAGGGTAAGTTGACCATGACGGTCAACATGGTAACGCTGCCCGAACCCCAATCCGGGGCGAAACATCCGAAACTGACCACACCCAAAAACGACGCCTTCGCCATACTGCTATCTACCAAACCATAAGAGCTTTGGCTATTCTGAGGTGCTTATATGGTTCAGAGATGGTACTTTTGGGGGTGGTCATTGGTATGTGTGAAATGCCTAGCACTAATATTTCACAAGAAAATGGCCATGCAATAATCATAGTTAAACGTCAATTTGTGGCTTGCAAATTCAGATAAACAGCAGTGGACTTACATTACCTTTTTCCCTAAATCTTTTTGATAGAAACATAAATGGTACTTATTTAAATATATTATCACTGGTTTGGTGTAAAATAGTTAATATTTTCTGACCGAAATAATAATTCGAAATGTGCCTACCTCCTGCAAATGGACGTATTTGGCCAAGTTCTCCACTTTATGCACCTATCAATGTTTTCCCCCTGAGAGGGGGGTGCGGGCAACCCAGGGGAATTTTGACATTTTTAAAATTTTGTAGTCAAAATCCCCACTGTTGGGCAAGGAACGGCTGTCAAAATTCCCCAGTACATTCCTAAGATAACAAGGCACACGTATGTTTTCCAATGCGAACATACAGTCTATACTGGTTTAAACTTGGTAAAAATTGAGACACTGTGTATAAAATACCTTTTCCGATGAAACTTGGTCTTGCTTCTCTGCCATACTTGTTACCAGGCAAAACCGCGCAAACTTTCAAGATGGCGGATGTCAAAATTTCCCGACTCTGGGAGTTGATGCATAGGTCAAATTCCCCTCACTGGAGCTTCATAGTATTGTCAAAGTCCCCTGGGTCGCCCGCACTCCCCCCTCAGGGGGAAAACAATGATAGGTGCATAATACTCCGCTGTTTATCGGCGATCTCGTCGACATCCTACAAAAAATGTAAATCATCTCAGACATAATGGTATCAAGAACATTTTAAACAAGTTTCAACTTGGTTTCAAGTAGATCATACCTGTTTAACCATCGACAAGGTAAATCCACAACTTTGTCCAAATTCGACGCCATTTTGTCATCCCATGTCGCTTGTTAACAATTCAGCCTTGTTACTCTTCCATCCAAGCCATTTCCATTCCACTAATAATAAATTTAACCCTTTATAACAGGAGGACCTAAAAAATCTAAACAAAATACAAGAAATACGCCATTTTATCACCCTGTAAAATGTTGTTTACGAGTCCTTCAAAACATTCCGTACAAATCTCGCGTGGTTTAGCAA